CATCATTACCCGATAATGAAAATTTATACTCAATACCTAATATAAGTTATTGGGTGAAAATGTATCCGACAAGTTTAACTGAACAAATTAAATACGTAAATGCAGCTTGCAGTTGCACTACTTCGGTAAGATGGGTAACCATATATGTGGTGGATATAAGGGGGGAGGAAATGCATATGGTGGCAACCAATAGCCTTATATATCACGTACATGACAGTCTCAGTGTTTGCTGGTCGTGGTGGAAACATATGAGATGGGGCTTGAATGCGGTAGGAGACGTATATTAGTACTAGGATTCTTCATTGTCCACACTTTGAGGTTTTTGGAGTATCTGCTGAAATCTAACGAGGCTATGTAGACTGAAATGTTGCTGCTATTGCATGGGTTTGAATTGAAATAAACCATCAACTTGAGTAGCGTGAGATTTTAAATTGAATATTTCAAGTTTGAATTTTAAATATAATAAAAAAAAAGAATTATTATTTTTTATATAATTTATTATCAAATATATTAAAAAAAATTCTTGAACTAAGGATTTTTAAAATTGATTTCGTTGAAGCTGCTGAAGATATATGGATTAGCATTGCCACTTAACATTAATGTATGGTAAGTAATTAGAAACACTTCAACAATGAACAATTTGTCTAGCTAGCATCCAAATATTTAAGAGAAACATGTGTTTCTAACTAAGCTCTGCCAACAGAAGTCCAAAAAATTAATTGTTCAACTTGCATTTATTTCTATATTCACCACCAACTTCCAATTACAATCTACAAACCAAATTTATTCGGCAAAACTTTCACATGTGATTTGGCTTTTATTAAAGAAGGCAAAAAGAGACCATGTACTAGTTTTGAGCTGACAATTTTAGAAACAATAATCTATCTTAATTGTTATATGTGGACAATCTTTATGTTAAACCGTAAGCCATAAACTCATTCTGTTTTTCTCAATTCAATCCTCAAGCTTATATTTGATCCAAATAGGCCCATCTGATTTGTCATGCAACATGGCCAGTAGGTCCAAAGTGAACTAGAAAAGTTGTATAACTCGTCTTGTTCACTAAGGCCTTAACAAACTAGCTAGTGGTGGATGGCCACATAGTAGGATGAGGACTGAGAGAGCCATCTCGTCTTAGTCTTTATCACTCAATGAAATTGTAAGGAACTAGGGACCGAGGAGGAATGTCTCATAATTTTATGCAAAATCAGGAGGATTTCAGGGACCGGGGAAGGATGTTATCCACACATAAACCCTACACTATGATTTATAAGAATAAGAATAACAATAAATGAGAATAAAATTTGATATTAAAATATAAAATTAATGACATAATTTACGTCATATCATTTAAAATATTAAAAGATAAAATTTATATTATTTAATAATTAATTTTTTTATTTTTAAATTTATATTATTATAATATTATATATTAATTAATTTAATAATATAATATAAATTACATTATTGATAATTTAATAATATAAGATAATTTAATAATACAATATAAATTACGTTATTGATTTTAAATTTTCATTTTTCTTATCATTACTCCATTTATAAAGGCTTAATTGACTCAAAAATAGTTAAATGTCTGAATTGAGAAATAAAATAAGTTCATGGAGAGCAATGGTTATGACCATTTGTCATTTTTGTTATTGTCATTAAAAATTGTTAAATTTTTATTTTAATCTTGTTATTAAAAAATAATTAATATTAATATTTATTTAATAAATTAAAATTAATTTATAAATAAATATTTAACAATATCATAATAATTATTTTAAAAAATTATAAATCAATAAAATAATATTAACATTTGTTATTTATTTCAATATTTCTATTTTCTCTACCAACAACCTGTTGGTAGAAATAAAAAAATTTAATTTAAAAAAAATGTTAAATTTAAATTTTATAAATATAAAAAATATTAAAAAGTTTCCTTTTATAAGATCTAATACAATTTAAAGGATTAGTGTTTGTTTATGTTACCTCCAAAAAATTAAGAGAAAAAATGACAAAAATATCTTAATTCATGTTTTAAAAATAAGATATTTATTTTTTTAATAATTATTTATTAAAATAACATAATTTTGAAATAATATTCTTCCTAATTAAGGTAAGTCAAATAAATATTATTTTCACAATTTAAATTTAATTTTATATCAATAAATATCCAGTATAATCTTGGATACTAAATATTCATATTTTGATTATTTTCTCTGCAAACCAGTTTCTCAGGGAAACGGTTTTCTCAAGTGACGGCGATAAACGGCACCGCATTTGTGGTTTTCGTCGGTGCGTTACATCCACGCGCCTAAGCCCTACGCGTGTTCCAGACAGCCATCATCAATTCCTCCAAAGCAGTGGTATTGCTGTGTGTAGCTATTTCACACCAGCAGCAATTAAGCCTCACTCTTTCTCTCTCTCTCTCTCTCTCTCCTCCTTTCTCCTCACTTTCTCTGTTTTTACTCCCTTTTTCTCGACTAGATCTTCACTTTCTCGGTATCCAAACAAGACAAGCAGAATCAGAAGGCGTAGTGTACGTGTACATTCCTATTACGTTCCCGTTTCCCTGGATCTTTGCCGCATTTCTTGGATCTGCAGTCGGAGCTACCCGCATTGTGTTTTCGTTTCTCTCTCCTAGGGTTTTGGCACTGAGTACGGCTCTTTATAGTCATGCTGACTTCTGCTTAGCTTCCGAGGGGTTCGCCGGCGGCTAGTTGATTCACTTCTAACCTAGGTGCCTCCGGCGAGGTTCACGTGTTGCAAAGTGCTCTCGGTTTCTGACCATGGTCTTTGGGTTCTGGTTCGGGGGGAGAAGATGCCTGCTTTAACTCTTCTTCTTTTGTTTCTTGCTCACTTACTCGGTGCGGTCTCCTTCTCCAATTCGTTTTCAGGTATCGGCTTTGAATTTATTTATTTATTTTTTTTGGTTATAAGAAAATTGGAGAAAAGGAAGTAACGTGAGGTGAAAACCAGCTGCACTGAGCTTTTAATTTGGACTGTTTTCTAATTCTTCTCTTTGACTCTGTTTAGTTGTATTTTTCCCTTTTTAAAATGGACTTTCAAGTTGAAATTTTTATGTCAAAAGTTTTAAAGTGAACTTTCTTTTTTTGGCGATTGGTGACTTTTGTGAAAATTCTGATGTAATAAATATGTGATTTGCCATTAAAGAAAGCTTGAATTTTACTCCATTAGAAAGTTATGTCTACTTGATTGATTGTGCTGCCTGAAAGTTATCTCCTTGTGAAATTTTGGGCATTCTTGAGTGATTGAGCAAAAAATGCGATCATATACTTTTGGTACCACACAGTTTATCAATGATTGCTTGGGCCTTGCAATTGTTCACTTTGTAAAGCACCAGTAAGAGACTATTTGGCCTTTCCTGATGTGTGCCTATCAAAAGGGGAAATGGGTTTCATTTCTTGTAGTTGTAGCACAATTGTAACTAAATAGGAAATAGCATATTCTATCACAGTTTATTCTTTTGTTTTGGGGAAACCTTTTTCTTCTTCATTGAATGGATGCAAAATGGTTTCTATTCAGTATAAAACTTCATCTGGTATACTAGAAAAATAGAGCTTGTTTGAGATGGATACTGTATGACAGTGTCTTTCTTGGTATTCCAAAGAAAAAGAAAGCGTAAATGGTAGCTTTAAAATGCTTAATTTAAGTACATTCTGTCATACTTATTCTAGTTTTCTTTTTGAGAAACTGTTCACAATCAATTCTTCATCAAGAATGGCCAAAATCTTCTATATCTGTATTCATGTGCTGCAGGAGATCATCACATGGTTATGACATGATACATTTCAACTGATTACAAGCCTGCAAGATATGAAATTCCATTAGCAATGGTTCATCTAGGAAACTTAAACTTACATGATCGCTTTTTTGTCCCTTTACTTTTTAGGACATCAATTGTTGCATATATACTTGTCTCCTTCTTCACAACCAAACCAATGGTCAACAACAAGGAGAACTATAGCGGATGATGGTAAGTCAGCTACTTGCTTTGATTTAAATTATTTTTTTTGTTTTTTAAATTAATTTAAGTGTGGTCTTTCTTCATTTTTTTTTTTAATTTCTAATTATGCTTCGCAAAACTTGATATTGACAAAATCACATTTCTATATTCATGGATACATAGATATGGAAACTTTATTTATGAAGCCATTGTTTCATATATCAGAACTTGATGTTGGGTACCATCTTTTTTAAAAACCTTAATAATTAAAATGCAGCAAGTTGTATAGATGATAGCTTTACCAACGAAGTTAAAAGAAAAAAAAAATACTAATGTGTAATAAAGATTCTTAGCAATACAAATAGCATCAATTAGGTGGGTAGCAAAGAGAAGTCAATGGCATGGCTGGTCTATGCTCAAGGGTGGGATGCCTTCTCCTAGAATGGAAAGCTATTTCGTCTCAAGTCTGTAACTTCCATTATACAAATAAATGGACTTCCATATTTTGATGTTTTAGCTGAACAGAATAGCTGGATCAGTTTCTCAATGTATCTTAGGAGCTCTGAACTCTTGCAAATTCAAATTAGATGCAAAATGTAATCAAGCATGCCTGCTGAATATTTGAAATTTTAATCCATTAGTACATCTGACTATAGAAAAAGTGAGTTCCTAGACAAGGATATTAAAAGCCCTATGTGTCCCTGTCTCCCTTTATTTTCATTCTCTCCCTTGCTTTTGTCTTTTGCTATCAGTATTGAATGACGCTTAAGAGTTAAGAAGCGTTTTATCTTCTCTTCTGTTACTATGGTTACCTATCCTTAGACATAAATAACTGACAAGGTTGCTCTACTCTTTGCAGCAACATTGAACTCAATGAGCTTTTTATTTTCACAAAAAAGATCTCTCTTGAAAGGTGCTTTTAACCCTTCTTTTGCACCCTCAACTTTACCTGCACCTGCACCTGCACCTTCTCCGATTCATCAAGGTAGTTATTGCCATCACAATTTCAAATCTTGTTACAAATGAAATTATTTGTTGACATGTTGGTTGATTTTGTCTGTTCTATTTCAGCCTCTGTTGCTGGCCCTCGCAGACATCCTGTACCACGAAATCGTCATCGTCATCATCGTCATCATCATCTTCCTGCAAGAGCTCCTGCAGTTGCTCCATCACCTTCAAACCAAGGTAATATTTGACAGGACTTCAGCATTCTATTATATAACATGATTAATCAGTTAATGATTAAGCATGCTTCACCAAGCTAAATTTGTATTTGATGTTGAAATTAGTCAAGTGTCCTTTTGGAAACTTTTCATTAGCACTAACTGCATTGAACTGACACCTGAGGACCATATCAGAGTTGAAGGTCTCTTGATGTGTGATTTATCAAATGTTCATCACATGGACCTATATGATCTCTAGTTTTCTCTGTCAGCAAAATTACTTTAAACACCTGTTTTCAGATGTGTATTTGTGAATTTTGATTAGAAAAAGCTCTTTGGCAGGTTGCAATCAAATTTGCGAGGAGCCACTAACTGCAACTCCCTTTGGTGGTTCAACTTGTGGTTGTGTATTCCCTATGAAAGTCAAACTACTTCTAGACATAGCTCCCTATACTATTTTCCCTGTAATGAGTGAGCTAGAGATTGAGATTGCTACAGGCACTTATTTGCAACAGAGTCAAGTGAAAATAATGGGTGCTAGTGCTGATAGTCAAAATCAGGGAAGAACAGTGGTTGATATTAACTTGGTTCCACTTGGAGATAAGTTTGATAATACAACTGCAATGCTTACGTATGACCGATTTATGCATGAGAGAGTCCATCTAAATACAACTCTTTTTGGTAATTATAAAGTGATATCCATTAGTTATCCAGGTAGTGAATGCTGAACTCCATTGCACTATTTAATTCTGCACTACATACAATGGCTGTTATCTGAAAGATGTTTTATCAGGAATTCCTTCTTCACCACCGTATGGGAGTTTCGTGGGAAGTGGTCCTAGTGGGAGTACTGGAGATCTCCCAGTCACGGCTAATTTTGTTAACAAGAATCAGAAGATGAATCTTAGGATCATTGCCATTATTGCTTTGTCTGCATTTGTACTGATATTGGTTTTAATTGGGTCAATCTCTGTATTTATAAAGTGGAGGAAGGTTGGGAGACCGTCAAATGCTGTTGGTCCAGCTGTTGCATCGTCTCTAAACAAGCGATCTGGTAAGTTCAGAAATGATTATGATGGTTCATTTTGGATTTGAAGTGGAAATGAGAGTATCTCATTGCCCACATTTAATGTTTAAACATTAGCTGCCAGTGTATTTTGGTCCTTATCTGGTATTAAAGGTTTAGTTCCCAAAGGTTACTGCAATAAATGAACCATTGTAGTTAGAATATGCTAATCTCTCTGGTTGATATTTTTATATTCTTCCATGTATATCTGACTTTGGCTGATCTATAATTTCAAGTAATCAATAGAGTTAGCAGATGTGATTTGATCTCCATGTTAATGCAGGTGGCATTGGTTCTATTTTGTCAAGTAGTATAGCAAGCTCTACATCGGTATCACTCATTTCCACCATGCCCCCTTCTGTTCTTTCGGTTAAGACATTTGCACTTGCTGAGCTTGAGAAGGCAACAGAGGGATTCAGCTCAGAGAGGATTCTGGGTGAAGGAGGCTTTGGACGTGTTTACCGTGGTATGCTAGAAGATGGAAGTGAGGTTGCTGTTAAATTACTTACAAGAGATAATCAGAATGGAGACCGTGAATTTATAGCAGAAGTTGAGATGCTAAGCCGCCTGCACCACCGTAATCTTGTAAAACTCTTTGGTATATGCATTGAAGGACGCAAACGCTGCTTGGTATATGAACTAGTTCCTAACGGCAGTGTTGAATCTCACTTGCATGGTATAATTTGTATACCACATTTGGTGACGATTTCTTTTGGAAGTTGTTTTCTGAATTTTGAGTTGGTTGATCATTTGTTGGCTGCCTACATAATGCATTACTTGACTGAACTTATCTTCTTATCAACGCACAAACCCAGGCAAATTTTACGTTTTTTGAGTATCCTTCCTTTCAAAATGGAAATAAATTTAATTTTCAACATAATTACCTGTCTAGAGAGATGGAAATTAAAGAGAAGAGGTAGAGAGAGGCGGGACTATTTCTTCATTTGTACGTTACATATCTTGCATTGAGGCATTGATTCAAAATTTGTCTGATTCCTTTTTTTACTGAAATAGAAAGACATTAAAATCAACCCTATTGTCCTGGTGTTTTAGGTGTTGACAAGAAGAAAGGGCCTCTTGATTGGGATACACGCCTGAAGATTGCCCTTGGAGCAGCAAGAGCTTTGGCCTACCTTCATGAAGATTCTAACCCACGAGTGATCCACCGAGATTTTAAGGCGAGTAATGTTTTATTAGAAGATGACTTCACCCCCAAGGTCTCAGATTTTGGGTTGGCAAGAGAAGCTACTGAAGGAAGTCAGCATGTTTCTACCCGGGTGATGGGAACTTTTGGGTATGTATACTTTCATTTTGACTAAATGGTTAAGGTGTCACTGCTTCAAAAAAGTAGATCCAATTCCTGAATGTGAAATTAATGGAATTGCAGGTATGTTGCTCCTGAGTATGCAATGACAGGGCATCTACTTGTTAAGAGTGATGTCTATAGTTATGGGGTTGTGCTCCTCGAGCTTCTGACTGGTAGAAAACCTGTTGACATGTCACAGTCTCCTGGACAAGAAAATCTTGTAACTTGGGCACGGCCTCTGCTGACCAGTAGAGAAGGTGTGGAGCAGTTGGTGGATCCCTTCCTGGCTGAAACCTATGACTTTGATGACTTAGCTAAGGTGGCAGCCATTGCTTCCATGTGCGTTCACCCAGAGGTAACTCACCGGCCATTTATGGGTGAAGTTGTTCAGGCCTTGAAGCTGATATACAATGACACAGATGAAACTTGTGGTGATTGCTGTAGTCAGAAAGGGTCATCCGTTCCAGACTCTGATTTCAAAGGTGATCTTGCCCCTTCTGAAAGCAGTTGGTGGAATGCTGAAGGAGTCACCCCTCGCCTAACTTATGGCCAGGCCTCTTCCTTTATCACAATGGATTACAGTTCAGGTCCGCTTGAAGAAATGGAAAACAGACCGTTTTCCACTTCAAGTTTTATTGGAGGTGGAGTTTCTTTACCAGTTAGGCATGGCAATCGATCAGGTCCCCTGACAACAATCCGAAGCAAGCCAAGCCTATATAGATTGAGAGGGGGGAGCATGAGTGAGCATGGGGTACTCCTGCCAAAGCGAATTTGGAGTGATTCACATTGGGTTTGAGGTTAATTTCTTCAAATTTTAATTTTTGAATTGTACAGTTTGGGAGGACCGAGGCTTTTCAGAAAGCGGTCAATTGATATTTGTGTAGGTGCTTCGGCCTTCCGGGATTCTGCTGTTAATGTTTGAAGAGTGAGCTGACTCGGCTTCTTGTTCCTAAAGTCCTGATTCATTAGCATACAAAGTGTGCCAAATGGAGATGTAAGTTGAATACTTCTGTATTATATCTGAAATTTTATATTCTTATGGTTCAATGCAATTTCATCCTCAAATCATATTTCGTGCGGTGGATTCAAGAATTTCATAATCAAGCGAAAAGCAAAGTTTTGATGAGTCAACCAAAGGGCTGCGGCCCCATTATCTATCATGCTGTTTGAATCACAAATACACGCTAAACCTATTACAAATACAATCAAACAAGAATTGAAGCCAAATGAAAAATAGAAATGTCTAGTGTGGTCAGGATTATATTAGATTGTGCTAAACTAACCTTTGGATGGAATAGACCTATCGCTATTAGGAATTATTCCTCCATCTAAGGATTCTTTCTAACAATATAGCGCAATAGACACTATAAAAAGGGTATTTAAGAAAGAATAGAGAAAAGATGAGAAGAGAGGAATGAATGTACGACACAAATGAATAAATATTCAAGTATTCAACAATATCAATACAAAATCACAAAACATACCATTAAATCATTGAACAGAACATACTTTACTCCTTGAATTATCATCTCAACCTACAACATAAAAGTGAGAATGAAATTAAATGTAAATTTAGCAACGTTAGCGAAAAAGAAGGAAAAAAAGAAATTAAGGTGATTGAATTATAGATATCAATATAACTCCATTCATATCTCATATCCATCTACAAAATTTAAGAGAAATCTAATTAGTGAAAAAAAAAAATGAAAGAAACAAACATTTGACAGACTATTACTTAATGTCTAATATCTAATTCGTCCCTTTTCAACTCAAGGCTATACTTCCAAGATGATGAAATACAAGTAAACTAAAATATCTAATTAATTGTATAAATCATCATGTAGCCAGAAATGTACTCATGCATTGGATTGGGAGGAGCTTGGAACAACAATCCACCATGGTGAATTCTCAAGCCGCATGTTCTTCGACTCAAATCTAACAGAGGACTTATTTCCATCTCTCAACTCGTACATTTTGATAATAATGCACCCCTTAAGCGACCATGTAATGAAGTAAATCGAGTTTCCTCTACAAGCTTGTAGATCTTTCGTGGATACCAAAATAGATTGATTTCTACTAAGATAAAATATTGATCGATCGCCGAAGGAATTCACCTCCACCCATTTCCTCCTTTCGAAATCTAACTTGAATACGCGAAATAATGTTTCTGCAGAATACTCGCAACCAGCAAGCAAAATATCACCTTCTGATCCAACTAAGAAAACTCTAGATATCTTCGGAGGAAAGGACAGTGGTGTTCTTTTTTTGAAATGAAGTCCATGACAATTACCATTAAATTCCCAAGAATCAACGATAGTTGTGGAACCAAGAAAACACAGTGCGTAGAGTTTGCTTTTACTACAGAGAACGTTTGTATACGTACCAGCAGTAAGTTCAGTCCACCAAGTATGGCTGCCATTCCTATAGTATCCAAGCCTCTTTTCGTCATCGGATATTAAAGCCACACCAAAATCCTTGCTGTGGGTAGGATCGGCCGTCAGAAGAGCTGTCTTGACCAAACATTGTCGTATCTGATAGTCTGCTTTTCTTGCTGTCCATTTATTTGTGAAGATAACTGTATAGTGTCCTGGATCGAGCTCCTCGATTTCGGAAAATTTTGAAGAAAGGCTTGAGAGAAGACGCAAGTTGGATACGGACCTCCGTAAATGAATTTAACAAGAAGAGAGTGAAAGTGGTGTGGTCGGAGAAGATGAGCCACCTCTGTGATGATCCAGTGAGAGGGAACTTGGAAAAGACGTCCGATGTTCTCTTCTTCAAACGGTAGAAATTGTTTTCTTCAACGTTCAGGATGAGACAAGAGCCGCGCTCGCCTTCGTTCGGAGGAAATATGAACCAAGGGGATTTGAGGAAGCGAGAAAAGTCATCGAAAGCTTCCACAGAGGATTTCAAGAAAGAAGAAACGGCTGTTACTCGAATGAGATCCGCAAAAGAAAGTCGGGTGAAGATGGATTTGAGAATATCGGTTGGTAGCCGCTCGAAGTTGGATTGGAAGGGCTGTTCGGGATAGGTTCTTTTTCTTCTCTTTGAGGTAGAACCATAGAGTTTTAGCGATTGCTCAAAGTTGGATTCTAGGGGTTGTTGTGGATGAGTTCTTTTTCCATGCTTGGTGGTGGAGCGACGGGATGTTGATGGGTTATTTCTCATCTTGGGGAAATTAGTTGTAAGAAAATAGAAGGAGACTAAAATTGAGAGGGGTTTTAATGCATAAAAGGGAGGTCGAGCAGTATTATACATGAAAAATGATGTGTGCTCATTTGGGTGTGTACACTCCACATAAAATAAAAAATAGAGAACATTCAGTTCATTTTTTTTTTATGTGTGGGGTGCACCAATCATGATTCACTATATATAGAGTTTCTCCTGCATCCTCTTGAGATAGAACTGCATCCTCTTAGATAGAACATGGAGTTCTAATTTGAGAAAGAGAAGGAAGAAAGAGACCGACTTATTTTATACTATGCTTGTTCATGTTCTGAATGAGTTCTTTTGCTGCGCTTGGTGGTAAAATTTGATGGGTTATTATTTTCTCCAATCCAATCCTATCCCATATTAGGGATTTTAATATTGGGTAATTTAATGCAATCTAAGTTACTTAATATATTTTTATATTAAATATTAATAAAAATAATATAATTATAATAACAAGTTATATTACAAGTTTACAATTATAATATATATGTTATTGATTTTTTTTTCAATAATTTGCAATTAACTCATAATATTTTACATATTTATTATATATCTATATATTTAATAACATAAGTAATTATTGTAAATTTATAATTCTAAATCGCATTATAGATGTAAATGTGTAATACTAATACATTTAGTGGCTTTGCTAGAAAAGCCTCTACACTCAGGACTAGTTCCCATTCGATGATCAATTTTGTTCAAGTAAGGCATAAAGAATTAAAAAAATTATTTTAGAGGACAAATTATATATAGATAGTTTTGTAAAATTATTTAAATATTTTTAATTTACTTTTATATTATTATTTTAAAATCATTTAAATAGTTTTATATAATAAATTATATACAATTTATCAGTAAAACAGTTTTCTGTAAAGTATATTTGCTACCAATATGTTAAATGTTTTGAGAACAAATTTTTTTCACGAAATTTCTTTTTCTTTTGTGAATTTATTTCCGGTTTCATCCACACAGACTCCAAACAAGTACTCGCGCTCACACATTTGCAAAAATGTTCACGCTTTCACCTTTCTCCAATTCTACTTCCCCCAACCTCCTCTGCCCTACTCGTCTCCACTTTCTCCCCATCCGCTCTACATTGTTTCGTTCTCTCCAAGTAGCATCTCATCGGAGAGATTTCAGAGCTCGACTGTCGTCGGAATCGCTTCCTCCTCCGCCGGAACACCGCATCGTGGTACGCCTGCTTCTCCTCTCTTCTTCTTTCACATGTATCTATACAAATCGTGAAGTGGAATTGCGTGTGTTAATTTTCGTCTTATGCGTACTACAGCTCGGCTGTGGATTGGTGTTGGTGGATTTCTTGGCTGCGGTGGATTCCTATCCCAAGCCTGACGACAAAATCAGAAGCACCAGCTCCAAGGTAACTGAATCACCGAACTACATTCCTACATTTGAATCTGAGTGAGTTCGCAGCCTTTTGTACTCGGTGATGATGCATCCAGATTGAACTCTGCTTTGCTCACTGAGTTGAGTAGTTGATTTGGTCTTTTGACTCTATTTATCAATCAATATCGTTCTCTATTCAATTTTGTTTTTCTGATTCTAATTCTTGATACTATTGCGTTTGTACTTTTGATTATGTGGTGTTCGGGCTTGGGTTCAATTTTGTCCTTCTAATTATTCTGCAATGGCATTGGTGCCTTAGGTTCAAGGAGGCGGGAATGCTGGGAATGCATTGACTTGTGCAGCTCGTTTGGGCTTAAACCCACGGCTAATTTCTAAGGTTCCCCATGGAATTAGTTACAGAAGACTTTATCTTCACTCAAGTGTTTTGAAATTTTGGTTAATGTTTTTTATTGCATTGTGAAATCATCAGGTTGCAAACGATGGACAAGGCAACAGTATATTGGACGAGCTTGAATCTGATGGAGTGGACACTTCTTTCATTGTTGTGAGCTTCATATTGGTTCTCAGTTTATGGTGTCCTTTTTTTTCACTAATTATTATATGAAGAGTAAAATCATAGAAGTTTACTGCAAATTGATGTTACATTGAGTCTTATGAACTGAATCTCTCATTCTGTCTTGTTGACTTGATTCTGTTGCCTCCAGGTTTCCAAGGGGGGTAATTCACCATTTACTTATATAATTGTTGACAGCAAAACGTGAGAACTAATGCTTTGATGCTCTGTCTCTCTATCTCTCTCATGCCCACAACATAAATGCAGACTTCAGATATATAGAAACTTTTGACCTGATGCAGATTATTTAAAAATTTTAGATGTTAAATTGTTAAGCATTTAGTGCAAAGTTTTGTAAATTTTTCTGGTTTCTTTTTATCCTCTGTTGTATACATTTTAATATGACATTTTACTAGGCATTGTCCTTTCTTAAAATTTTCTCTTTCCTTTATGGCCCTACATATGTGAAGTCTGAACAAGTGGTTGTCTGAGCATCTAGCATGCTTTTTTTTACTTCTTTTCCTAATTAACCATCTGGTTGATTAATCATAAGAAATATTTTAGGAAAACTCGTACTTGTATTCACTCCCCTGGGGATCCACCCATGACAGCAAATGAGCTTTCCCAATCAAGTTTATCACGTGCGTTGGATGGAGCAAGGATTGTCTATTTTGATGGAAGGCTGCATGACACTGCTTTAGTTGTTGCCCAAGAGGTAATTGTTTTCTAATTTTGCTTAAAGAACTTGCTGCAATCAAAGATTATACTGGTTCTTCCATTCAAGGTAGATGATGCTAAAAGGTCCTCATTTTGTTGGAATTATGAAATGAAACGAGCATGTAATATTATATCTATATTTCTTGTGACAGTTGTTAATAACAAGAGGTTACTCAGTTCCATTTTATGGAGACTATATAAAATGTGCTTTACTAACTAGAGCTTAGCCTGTTTGGTGTTCCCTAATTCTAAATCCGTGATTTTTGGGGTCCAGGTTCAAGCCATTGTTATAGCTAAGAACTTTAAATTTCTTGATGCACCAATATATGTCCAAAATGGCACCTTTTTCTACCAACAACACCTTGCTCATTTTGCATGTGAGCACTAGGGTCTTTCTCATTGATAATGAACTTAGTATAAACGTTTGCATCAAGTTTTTAACCATTCATGAGCTATGCATAGCTCTTAATCAACTTCTTGTGTGTTCTGTTGGCAGTTTGTCACTATAGTTTCATAGATATTATATTTTCAAGTGTGCCTTTGTAATCTCACCAAGGTGGTGCTTTATGTTCTTAAGTAACTGCTACTGGTAAGTTCATTGCCCTTTTCTGGATTCTTTTGGAGCAGGCAGCTCAGAAGAATATACCTATTTTAGTTGATGCAGAAAGGAAAAGGGAAGGGTTAGATGACCTTCTAAAATTTGCTACTTACACTGTATGCTCAGCAAAATTTCCACAGGCAAGTTGATTTTTTTTGGTGTGATGGATTGATATGACTGCACATTTTATTTCTAAATTTTTATTCTTTAAAACTATGATCCTTTGACCATCTTCCATTTCACTCTTTTGTTCTGTTTACTATGTTTTTGTGTGGGAAATCGTGATAAATTGTGACTTATCCTTTAAAGCAGTTCTTTAAGAAATAGGAAATTTCCATCGAGAGTAGTTTATTTATCTACATTTTTTCCTTGCTTACTGAGCCATTCTTCATTTGGAGGTGGCCATTGAGCTGGTCCTCTTCTGGCCTTGGTGACTAAGGATTGGCTCGGACAGGCTCAGTCAAACTTCAAAGGATTGATCAAAATTTTTTTTCTTAGCTTGATTATATTATTATGTTTGATATAATTGTTATTTATTCCTAGTATTTTTCCCTTTTACTTATTATCAGATATTTAAATATTCTAGCTTTGATAATCTTTCTTTGATTCTCTTTCTCATTTATGTTACAAAAAAAAAAAAGGAGGAAAAAAATTTAAAGAAATGTGGTAAAGCCCCAGATCGGTGGGCTGGTTACTAACCTGTGGCGATCCCTATCTCTATTTACTTTAATTTCTACTCTAACTGTTCTTTGGCAATCTACTTGGAGTTTATGTTGCAACCAAGCTTACTTTTGGAGAAGTTAAATAAAATATATGCATTATGCATCCTCCAGAATACTGCACTGGGACTTAAACATCATATGGTCATGTCTGTTGAATAACATGTTTTATCAGGCAGTTTGCTGCTTTTATCAATACTTTCAATTAAGCTTTTAATTGGTCATTTTGATCTTTGTAATTGAACTGGTTCTTTAATGCTTAGCTACATAGATGATATATCTGCAGAACTTCCATGAGACAGGCGTGGACAGAGGCACCATCAATACCGAGTGCCCTTGTCTCTATGCTTCTGAGCTTGCCAAACTTAAAATCTGTGATTGTGACATTGGGTGATGATGGTTGTATAATGCTTGAGAGAAACATAGATGGTGAGTATATCTGTATCCAAATTTTAGTTGACTTATTTGCTTGCATTAGATTTTCACATGTTTCACTAATGTTCTGTTTTCAGGGAGTTCTGATTCTGAAGAAATGGATGTAGACAGCTTATTGGAATTGCTGAAGCAGAGGAAGGATGAGAGTGCAGTCCTCCCATTGTGCATTTCATCGGTAATCTGTGTACCAAGGGACTTCAAAGTTTGTAGAATAACATTAGGACTTCCTATTTGGTCTCTATTCTAAATATTGTTCACTTCAGTCGACTGTAAGTGGGAGCTTGAGCTGGCAGTGAACATGATTAATTATCTAAAATCTATTTTAGGTTTCAATTTTTAGTTATGAACTCATACTTGATGCTCTGGCCAAAAAGAAAAAACCTATGCTTGATGCATATGTATCATATCCTTTTGAAGCAATCAGAGATATATAATAAAAGGGGAAGTAAATGGGAAGGCATGAAATTGCTTGATGCAGAAAATTGTGCTTTAATTGTTGTTTTTATGTTATATGAAATTCCTGAGCATTAGATATCAATGAACTGACCCCTGCATTTGATTGAATTTGACAACTTTTATCTTTTGCCTTTCAAATCTTCCAGCTGGTGACCAAGTTGACAGCAAAAGGGATAGGAGCAGTTAGTGGCAGGTTATTTTTGGGAACAGCTGAGAAGATTCCTCCATCAGAACTTGTTGACACCACTGGTGCTGGAGATGCATTTATTGGAGCTTGTCTTTATGGTATGTCTAACTATTCCACCTAATCTGCCCCACACTGCAACATCCCTCCTCTTGCTATTCTACAGATTTTTTCCCTCTACCGTTGAAACTGCAAAGTTCTTATACCTTGAGGCTTGAGCTATTTGAATTTATCTTATGAAAGCAAGCTGCTTCATCTCATTAACATAGGAAAACAAAAATATGTTGATTGACTCTGAGATTATGGATAAAACTATCCCTGCATTGTACTTGCCTAGTGACTGTTGTCTTGTTTATAAGCCCAATGTTTCTACTGAGTGGGAAATTCCCTTGTCAATTAAATGAATGGACTTAAAAATAATATGGGATTCTCCACTTATTGTCGATTGGTTTTACGTTGGGCACTCCGTGGATTTCCTTTTGCCTCAATGTAATCCTTAAAAATGTGCTTTTGGTATTTCAGAACCTATTTTATTCATTCTCTGTAGAATTTGTTTTACACCTTAGATCCATGCATCAATAATTCCATAATTTCTTCGCTGCTTATGCTATCTACGTCTGATTCCTCCGTCCACTATGAGTTTGACACTCATTATGTTTCTTGTTTCCAGCTATCTGTGCTGGCATGCCACCAGAGAAAATGTTACCATTTGCCTCTCAAGTGGTAAGTTATTGGTATTAAATGGGTTACCAAGAGTGCCTCAAGTGTTTCTTCGGCGAACTATACTCATCATATGACTTCATGTGCCTCAAGTGTTTCTAATCTTACGTGATGCTAATTGCAATCTTATGTAATCCTCGTTGCAGGCAGCTTTAGGCTGCAGAGCTTTGGGAGCCAGGACAGGTCTTCCACACCGGACGGATCCACGCTTGGCATCAGTTTTTTAACGGAGCTTCATCATATCGTCAATGGTAAAAGTAAATTCTTCGAGTCTAGCCTGAAAACTTGAAAGCATACCACAGGTCCACGGCAACCTAAACCTTTCCTCAATTATTGGCTTTTCTGTGAGCTTTACTTTTCCACTTTAATATTTGAGGTGGACATTTGTGAGTAATGACTGTTATACGAAAAGAATGATAAAATATCCATTCTATTTTGTCCACTGCTACTGGATTGAATGGCGTGTTGTACCCTATTACTTAATAAGAAATGCTTACTCGACTTGCATTACCTGTATAAATGGATTTTTCTTAGGTTGAATGTCATTCTTCGTCAGTTCCTTATTTTTTATGTATTTTTTTTGTCTTCAAGTATAAAAAATATATTTTTTAAATTTTTTTATTAGTTAATCTGTTAGGTATATATATATATATATTTTTTGAACATATTTGCAAGGGACGGGTTTCGAACCCAGCCCGGAGGAGGGGGGAATGCA